TGAAAATTTTATAATTATTAAACCCATTTAAGAATTGGAAAAAAAATAAATTAAAAAAACTTGATTCCATAGTTATTTTTTTTCATCTTTTCTTTAATTTCTGATCAGATATCCTATAACATAACAAAACGGATATAAATTTAACAATCAAATATCCGTTGAATTATCGGATCGGATCGGATGGGATGTAGGCAGATCGGGTACATATCCTATCCATTTAGAGCCCTAGTTAAAACTCCTTTCGTCCTACTAGTGAGATGACAAATAAGGCCTGAACATGATATGTTTAAATGCACAAAGAATGCTATAGTTCAGGTTTATTGAAAATTGACAAATTTTATTCTCTAATGACTTTAAGAAAGTAGAATGTAGTAGTAGTAATTAGAGATTTTCACACAATCAATACACTATATCATTCATTATTTCTAAACCACAAACATGTTCATTAATCACCTAGGTACACAAGCAGTCATTTTTTTCTTTATCCAAATCACAACTCACACGTATATAATAAATTCAAACACAACAAATAGAAGAAAGGAACAATGAAAAAAATGACTTGAATGAGATCTAAGACTTATCAAGAGAGAAGAGAGAAAGTGGTGATTTGGGTAGAAATTAACATACTAACAAGCAAAAGACGACTAGCGATTTGCGATTAGGAATCACATTTTGTTTAGCAGTAACAAACAAGCATCAAATGTTTGAGAAATGAGAGTTTAGATTAGGGCTTCTAGAGTGGTGGACGTGATTTGCTGTCGTAGTTTTGTTGAATTATAATTTGGAAGGTTGAAAATAATTTTTTTTTTTAATTTCATATGAATTGTGATTAATTTTAGTTTAGATTAGATATGTAACCACGTTTGTTGTGAACTTATAAAATCATTGATCAATAACGATTAACTTAATTTACTCTATATGATTATTTTAATGGATTGGTTGTAATTTGTATTGCTAAATTGATATTTTTTCTAAAAAGTGGAAACTTTAAAATTTGATAAGTCAGTAAAATAAAACGATTCGGATCGATTTTATGCCCTTTTTGAAAATTGAAACCTAAACGATTTGGTTCGATTTGGGGGCAAAAATACCACGGTCCACGTGGACCAGAACCAACGGCTTCAAACTAACGGTTTGGCGATTTCCTACTATTTTGTATTTTTTGGGGATCAGCAGTCACTAACCTGCATCTTCACCTCAGTAACAGCACCTTTCTCCCTCCAATCAAAGCGCTCTGGCAAGCCACTAACGTCTATCTCCGGCGCCACAGGTACACCGCCTCCGCCAATAGCCCACAGTGCAGCACCACCAGGTCCACCGCCTCCTTTGACACCCATGTACATCATCTCAAATTCCTCCTCAGAAAGGTCAAAAAACTGCGTGACTCCATGGACGGCTGTGGGGTCCATCGCCTGGTGTTCGGCCGCCCTGATCAGATTCATGGAGAAGATCCCGAGGCGGCGTAGATACTCCTCATCAGTAGAGTATTCTTTCCCGTGCTCCTGCAGGAAATTCTTGAAGTGGAGCTCTGTGGTGGTGCCTAGGAGGTGGTGGTGAGTTTCTGTTACTTCGACAATTTTTGGGTCCTGTGGGTTTGCATGGAGGGGGAGTGCACAAGTTAAGAGCGCAACACCAACTGCGTAGAGTAGAACTCCTCCCTTCATTATTTGCTACTTACTGGTTCCGCTTCCTGTTCTTTGGCTCTTGCCTCTTGCTGGTTCATAGGAATCTGAAGAAATACTAGATTTTCTGGTGTATTTACCATTTTATCCCTTGAAGATGAGTTTTTTTTTTTTTCAAAAGTTTTTAATGTGTAAATTATGGGTCATACAAATACTAAAAATATTTTTTCAAATAAGTTGAAGCATGTAAAAAGGCACTCGTGTGATTATTAAACTTAGTCATAGTGGATCGGGAGAGTTTTTTGTTACGTCATTTAGAGTGTGTTTGGTAGTAATTTTTGGGGGAAGAATTGATTTTTGAATAGTGATATGATGGGAAATGTGTGGTTGAAAAAAAAGAAAAAGTATTGATGTGATGGAAAATATTATTTTATTGAAGAATGTGTAGTTGAAAATGAGAATTGATTTACTGTAGAAAGTGAAATTTTTTACCAAACAGGCTCTTATTATCTTAATATAAAGAATTCGAGAGTAAACTACTCATCATATATAATAATCGAGTTTTTGTTACGTTCATATAGGGCCTATTTGTTTTTTATTCTTAAATTCTACAGTAAATTAATTCTCATTTTCAACTACACATTTTTCAATAAAACAATATTTTCCATTACATCAATAATTTTTTCTTCTTTTTCAACCACACATTTCTCATCATATCACTATTCAAAAATCAATTCTTCCTTCAAAAACCCCTACCAAACAAGCACTAATTACCTATATAATAATCGAGTTTATTATTTTAATTAATAGTTTAAACTTTAAACATCAATTTTGGCAGAAAATTTGTACGCAAGAATTCAAAATTTAGGATAGAAAGTAAAACAAACAAATAAATAATTAAAGGTTAAAAATTTCCTAATACCATTTTGCGAAATTGCAAAATTATGCAAAAAAATGTTACACCTCCATTTGGTAGGAATTAAAATTTTAATTTTAATTTCAGTTAAAGTCAATAATTAATTTTAATTATATATTTTATAGTTTTGTAATTTTTAACCACACATTTTATTACCTTCTATTAAAATTTATTGAAAATTTAATATTAATTTTCAGTGCTAGATGTTGTTTTTCTTTTTTTGTAAAGAAAAAGGAAGAAAAATCTGATAAAAGTGAGGGTGATTTAGGCAATTGAGAAAGAAGTACAGGGTTGGGATACCAATGTCAGGACTCCTAATCCATGCAATTTTTCGGTGCTCAGTACGCGACACGTGTAATAGCTTTGCCAGCACGAGTCTCCACGTGTGGATTCTCCTCGACACCGCAGTATGCTTAAAAACTTTTATTTTTTTATTTTTATGTGTTCAAGAATTAAATAATTAATGCAAAAATTGATTTATAGTAAATCTTATCTTATAATAATATTATATATGAATATATTGCAGAATTTCTTTTCTTTTTTTAATAATTCTTATATATAATTACATAGAATAATTAGATGAAAAGTTATGTTAAGCATTGAGTTTTTCTCCCGCTAACAACTCAAGGTGCGTTTGATTGTAAAAGTAGAAAATGGGTGAAAAGAAAATGAATTTCAGGGAAAGTAATTGTCTAAAAATTGTTTTACAAGGAATTGTTAATTAAATGTGTTTGATTGGTATAATTTTTCACTTGAAATTTTTTTTATTTTTGTGTTCGTTTAGCTTTGTTTTACATGGAAATTGTCCATTAAAGTGATATTTTTTTCCACAATTGGTTATAAAATTTATTTTCATTGCAAAAAAGTAAAAAAAAAAAAAAAAAATTGTTTCGTAAAAAATCATTTTTTTTTATCAAAGTTTAGTGTTCGTTTGACTTTATTTTATATGAAAATTATCCATAAAAGTGAAATATTTTCGGCCATTACAACGCGAGGGTATAACCCCTTTATTCTATCTTGTGCGAGGGTCCAATTCTTCAAATTATGCACGCAGTATACTAACTTCATTTCTAAGACGGACGGTAATAAAATAAAAATGAGAAATTGACACAAACATATTCATTTCAATACTTATTATGTCACATTTGAGAGAAATTGGAACATGCATGTGCATTCTAATACTTGTGATGCCATATTTGAGAGAGACTATCACATACATGTTCATTTAGATGTCTTTCAAGTCATATTTGATCATCTATTACATGGATTGATCTTTATCCATTGAACATTACTGTTAACAATCTTTTCATGACTCATGTAGCATTTTGAATCCTCTTGAATAAGCGATAGTATAAGTTGGGATGTCTTATTGAAGTATTTTGTAATCTATTATAAATTACAATCATAGAATCTATGTTTTAATGAAAACGAGGTTCATGTCTATCATATAGAACAATCTGTTCTTTGAAGGAGAAGCCAAGCCAAATTATAATCAATCCCATGGAGACCAAGTTTTAGTAATCGTGGAGACTTGAGACTTGCAAAATCATCAAATTTTCATGAATTAATTCAATCTCTCCATCAAAAATTTATTCATTTTATTTTAAAGTCACTTGTTTCTTTTATCAGTTAGAGTATATTATCGACCTCCTTTTGAAATTGACGTGCGATAGAATGTCTAAGATACTTAACGCATTGTACGGTTCGGTTCAATTTTTAAAGCACAAGGGCAATATCTAGCTGGCATAGGAAATGATTTTATAAATTATTTTATTTTCAAGAAGTAATGAGAAAATGAAATTGATAAAGGTTTGCAATAATTGACTTTTCAAAATTGACTCGATAGTATTCTACCTTTGACTTGATTTTAAGCCGATTTCATTACCACGAAATAAAATAGACTCAAATTATTTATTTGCTAAAAACTAATGTTCTAAACATTATTGTTCTTGCTTGCACATTACCACCTAACATATAAGATTTTCTTTTGAGAGTTGAGACTATTAAATTCCCTAGTCAAAATTTTTTAGATTCACATTTGGAGTGGCAAAGTTTGCATCCTCTCTTCATATCAATTTCTCGATTATGACTTGACGTCATTATTAGTTGAGAATGAGATAAATTCTTCAACGTATTCAGAGTACACGAAATTCTATACTCTAATGATTTATTGTTTGGAGGATACATGAGAGTTTTTTGATAATTTTAAATAAATGCGTGTGACGATGAAAAAAAAAGTGTGAAGATTAGAAATATTTCATTGATTTTATTGAACTCATAATTTCAAACAAGCGTTCGGTTTATTGGTTGAAATACCCAAAAAGAAAAACAAGAAAGAAAGATCTCTAAACGATTCTAGCAAGCACACAAAGTCCCCAACGCAACCTACCGAAATGTGTGGCCCGAATCATCGCCCTAATTTTACTCTTTCATGTGGACTAGCTTTCTCGTTCGTTGAACAGTTTTTTCGTATTTTGGCACGATTCTTCAATTGCTCCTTTTCCCTCCGATGCCACAGGAGATACGATCGAATCTTCCCCTCATCTCATTGCTTCCCTTTAAAATCAATCAAGATTTTACATACCCAGAAAAGTAGAATTCCTACTGGTAGTTGTGATTTTTATACAGGGAGAAGGGAAAACGATGAGAGCTCTGAATTCCCAGTTAGTGTTGATCGATTTGCACAGTTCTTTGTACTCAGCTAAGCAGATCCCCATTTCAACTTATGGCTATCTGAAACAGTGTAAATTGGGCGCTCCTACGCTCGCAGCGGCGTTTCGTCGAACACGTGGGAAGATATCGTCTTCACGGGCACCGGCGCCAGAGGTTCAGTCTCCTGAGATTCGACGGCCAAGAGACTTGTCCAATTCAGGAAATGGCTTGTCATCATTTTCCTCTAACGTGGCTTCCACGTCGAGTTCGAGTTCTCAGGAGAATGAGGACCCTGACTTGAAGTTGTTTCTCGAAATTGTGCCTTTGAGAATGAGGAACGAGCTGTTTAGGCACAAGGATATTGGGGAGCTAATTGAGGTGGTTATGGACTTGGGAAGGAAGCCACTTGCACGATTTCCACATGGGGATTGGGCGATCTCAGAACAGCCTGTGAAGCTTGAGGATCTACACGACGCAATTTCAAAAGTTGTCTAATCAATACCATTTGATATGATACTAAATGTTATAGATAATTAAACACACAAAATGATTCATTCAATTTAAGAAGTCGGAATCTGTTATCTCGCTTTTTGATCATTCGTTGGGACACTTCTTGTTCTTGTTCAAGAAAAAATATTTTTTAACTGGTTAAATCTTCATAATGAGTTTTGATAACGACCTTAATATTTTAAAGCCTGCGATGAAGAATCGGTATCCTACTGATGAGAAAGAAATTACTTGAAAACTATTATGAGTATATAAAAATCTTAATTTGAGCTCTTTTACACTTGTATTGTTTATATAGAGTTCAGCTTATCAGGTTTTTAGTGTAAAGTTAATTGATTGTCAGCAGGTTGGGGATTTCTCCGATGACAACCGCTCTGGTATTAATCACTCTCTACATCGAATAAGTGCAATTCGAAATCGTAAAATGCAAATCATTGGCCTTACTTGCCGGGTGGGACGGGCTGTATCTGGAAGTGCTGAAATCATACGGGACTTAGTTGAAGGAAGTGGCTCCATATTGGTTATAGGGCCTCCTGGAGTTGGCAAAACAACCTTAATCAGGTATATTCTATATTTTTAGTTGATCCTTCAGAAACCTGTTAAAAAATTTCACTTATTGCTTGTCGTATTTTCTTTAGATATGTTTGATGGTCAGGTGCTAAATAATAAGTAGTTGGCTACTGCTTAATAAAGAAAAAATAGCTAGTGGTGCATTTATTGCAACATAGCTAGCATCCGACTGGAAAGAAATTTAATACTGAACAAGTTTGATAATGTTTATCTGATAGGAAAAACAATATTTACGTGCAATAGTGATGACGTAACTTTGCTTGTGCAGAGAAATTGCCAGAATGCTGGCTGATGACCAGAAGAAACGTGTAGTTATTGTTGATACGTCAAATGAAATAGGCGGTGACGGAGATGTACCTCATGCTGGCATAGGTCGCGCAAGAAGGATGCAAGTCCCAAATGTTCATATGCAGCATAATGTGAGTGGTATACGTAATGCTTGTCCTTCTGTTTTTTGTATAATTTGTTGATGCTCCAATTTTAGTAGGTGAATATTTACTATCTTTTGAATCCTAAACAGGTAATGATTGAAGCAGTTGAAAATCACATGCCTCAAACCATCATAATTGATGAAATTGGAACCGAGTTAGAAGCAATGGCTGCAAGTACAATTGCCCAGAGAGGGGTCCAGCTTGTTGCAACAGCACATGGAATAACTGTAGAGAGTATCATGAAAAATCCCTCTTTGCAGATCCTTGTTGGTGGCATAGAGGTGGAAATGGACCCCCTTGCATTTCATTTTCATTTATTTGTGTGTTACACGTTATGTTCAGCATTCAGTGGACTAGTTTGATTTGGCCCATTAGTAGCGTGTTGAAAAACTCTAATAAGCTTAGCCATTTACACTTCTTGTCATATGGATCAAAAAGGTTAGTAGTTTTGAAGTTTCTCAGGTCAGAATCATCAATATCTAAAACCTATGAAGCAGATTTGGTAGGGATTATGGACAGTAATAGACACTATTATGGATGAAAAAGAAGCTAAAATCTTGTTTAATGTACTTTCTACATTAAAATCCTATTTATTATACTTTCTACATCATATCCATTAGTGCATACCAAACATGCATTTAGTTCATTTAACAACAGAGTGACACTTCAAATTTTGGTTTGATTGAAACAGAGTGTCACTCTTGGTGATGAGGAAGCAAGAAAGAGGAAAGTGCAGAAAACAATTCTTGAGAGGAAAGGACCTCCTACATTTACATGTGCTCTTGAGATAATATCAAGAACTGAATGTCGTGTTCATCATAGACTGGATGCAACCGTGGATGCCATACTAGCTGGTATATTCAAAGAGTTGTTTCAACTATAATTTTTAATATTAATGCATTGTTCTGGTAGTGTAGCTTGACTGCAATCTGTATGGACACTAGGGAAATCTCCACTATTTGAAGTCCGCCAAATGGATCCGCAAGCTAATACTTTGTTGAAATCTACTCCAAGTACTAAAGAAGAACAAGTTGAAAATCTGAAAGTGACAAATAATGAAAATAAACAAACTAGAATAGAGTCTGATATGGAAGATGAGGAGTATAGTTCTATGTCCAAGAAAGTGGGAACGAACGGGTCTGTAAGCTCAAGGAGCTCCCCAGCGTATGTTTACACTCACAAGGTAATTTCTTAGTCTTCCATTCTTATTTTTGTCTTTTATGTCAGACTTCATGGTTAATTCAGGGTCAGATGATGGAGAGTAAAATAATTATGATATTTTTTACCATTTTGTGAAATATTTGATCGTACAATCATAAATGATGTAGCACACTTTTTGCAAACAGTGCCTTATTTTTATACAAGATTTATATCTTAGCATTGTGAGTTAATTATATAGGGATGCAAGATCAAAGTTATCCTGCTTTTTGCTGTATTTTAGATACAAGAAGCTGATTTGTTACAAGTAGCAGCTGTAATGGGGCTTGAGGATGAAATAGACGTAACCAATGATATTGGTTCTGCAAATGCTATTCTAACATCTAGTTCCGAAATTAAACAGAACCCTTGGATCCGCGGTGTGGCAAAGTTTCACCATTTGCCTGTATTTGTTATTAAGGTATCATCATATTTGTTATTTCGCAAACAAAACATTACTTCAAAGATTTATTGTATAAATGTTTCAATCTTTTGTTCTTGGTTTCAAACTGCAGTCAAATACAATGGCACAAATGGTAAAGGCAATTCGTATGATTCTTGGAATGGATTCATTTGGCTCTTTACAAAAGCAATCAAACAAAAGTTCGTTGGATATTGAGATCAAAGATGATGCACCAAAAAGAAAACCATCTCTGGAGGAGATTGATGCCTTGGAGGTGCATTCTTTCCCACATCTTAATTTGTTCTAGTCGATAATTTTTATGTTTGGAAAGTTGAATTACGTGATAGTTTGGGCAAGTACGAATAATATTGCAATTTGTAGAAATTAGTGACCTTGGATATACTAGAATCTCAGAGTGGTATCATCCCTGTGAAGGTTAGGGCAAATATAATGCAAATTGTGGAACTTATAATCTTGAAAGTAATTAATAGCGTTTTTGGCTAAGCTCATAAGTAATTTTTTGCTTCCAAGCATCTTTGGATGAGTTACTTTTTTCGTACAAGTAGGGAAAGTAACTTATTTTGACATAGGATAAGACGGCCCTTGAGGAATAACTTATTTATTTCTAACTTTGACAAAAAAAGATTATTTATTTTAAAACTTAATTATTTACTCATATATGAACTTATTAAGTGAACCTTTTTTTTTTTTGCTTAGCCAAACATGCACCAGATTTTATATTGTTAGCATCATCTCAATTGATGTTCACCTCAAGTGGTAATCACATGCTTATAGAAAAGTTATTCCCCAATGAGGGTTGTATAACATAGAATAGAAGTTGATTATTATGTTGGAACTAGTCCATTTTGACTGTATGTGTGTGTGTGTGTATATATATATATAGCTTCCACTTGTTTGCACTCCCTAGAAGAAGCAAATAGGGTTGGGTGAGCGATGAATTTGAATGTGCATCAAGGATAGAAGGGTAGGTCTTGTCTCATTAATTTAACACAGGAATATATATTAATTTGATAAGATAGGCTTTTGGCATGAAGATGTTACCTAGTAATGTGTACTTTCCCAACATCCTAGTTCTTGTTATCTGACGAGTTAAGATCATGGCCTTCGGGCAATTGCTAAGTAGTATGTCCTATTATGAAATAAATGGGGAAAAAAAAACCAACATATTGGGGGGATCTCTATTCTGATAGTTTGAACTTCTCAAGTATTCTGTGCTCTTGCCAGTTTTCAACTTATTTTGGATTTAGTATATTTTCTAAAGATCTTATTGAAAAAGAAATGTGTGCTCAAGAGAAAGCAAAAGGAAAGTGGGAGATGTAAGAAAATCATGATTTGTGGACAAATGGCACGATTAAACCGTCTTTTGGTATGAATACTTTTTTAGCTACGGTGCTTAAAAGTTGGACAAATTATCGGCAGCTTCCTCTTAATGGGTTAATTATTTCATTGAAATCAATGATAATACTTGATCGAACATGAAACCTATTGAAGATGATGAAAAACCTTATGTATACCACTCGAAGTGATGATATATGAACTGTGCAGCCTTTTATAGCAAATATTAAACTTTTACGTCATAATCTCGTTTGTAATAGCTTTCTTTAGTTTAAACCTCCAAATTTTGTTCTCCCTGTAGTATATCTCGCTATTACTTCCCATCTTGTTGTGTTATATGCTGCTATTCTCATCTTTTGTGGAATAAATTGGTGGTCGTTATACTTAGTTTGATGGTCATGATCAGTGCAGTACTGGAATTTTAATGTTCCTTATTTTCACAAAATTATTTTTCTTATTCTAGTAACTCAATCTAAGTCACAGTCAGAGTTACTAATGACTAAACAGTTTAAGATGTTCTAGCATCCAGTATATTTACATTAGAATGATGCTACTTGTACATATGGAGATACATAATGGTTTACAAACAAACGAGGTGTTAAAAAGAGAATGGAGAAGTTTTTTTTTTTTTATTTGGTTGAAAAAATTCTGATCCAATCATATTTCATCACATCACATATATATAAACCATTATGTACATATGGCACAACCGTTTACATTAATCTCCATACATCAAAATTGTTTTGAATTTTGCCTCATCAAGTATTTACTCTCTCTTTGTTGGAATTTTATAGGTTTTCTTAGCAATTTTTATGGATATTTAGGGTGGGTCCCATGCTTGCTTTTAAGAAGTTTTTAAGTGTCTTATTGAGGAATAGAATTCCCTGTTGGAAAAGAGAGGACTAGCTTATCGCCCTGGACTAGCCAGAAGGGTGTGTGATCTGAAAAGTCAACACAATTCAACAGTACAAGTTGAACATGTGGAAAGATGTGTACCACCTGTTGGAAGAGAGAGGACTAGTTTGTTGAATTATTTTTTATTTCGTTATTCTTGTTAGATTATCGATAATCCTTGTTGCTATGACGTTTGTACAGGACTCTTGCCATTAATTTCTGATTGCAGCCTTTGAGTGACTGATCTTGATTCTGGTTGGCTCTTGAATAGGAAGTTCGACTTGCAATTGAGTACATTGTGATACCAGGTGGTGAGGCTGTGGAACTTCTACCAAGGCGCTCTGAGATAGTTGCCCGACAACTTGAGTTGGTCGAGAGTTATCAGTTGGCTGCAGAGAAATCGGGGACTGAATCAAACCCCCGTCTGCAAATCCTTCCTCAGAAATTAAACAAAAGAACTTCAACATAACATCCCAAATCCAGTTCAAGTTTCCTCGACAATGGAGGTACAGGTGTTCTACTACGGCTTGTCCCTGAATAACAACATCTCAAGTTGAAATACCCATTGTGATTAGATAACATTAAAATGTACAGTTGTGTAAAGTATCTTATATTGTGTATCTTCTATTTTCTTAATTTTCGTAAATGGTTATTGTTGTGGTGACATTCACCTCATTGTATCAAATGTTGTACATTGTATAGAAAATATAAATTTTATTTGATTGTTAATTGGTGCTACTCTTCCTGTGCATATAGGGGAAGGCGGCGGTTCAATTCTTTGAATTGGGCAAAAATGGTCGAAGTTTGTTTTGTGTGTTTTTTATCCATTAATTTATTATTATATGCCAAAAATTTTGGTATTTCTATGAAAGAGCAAGTTCAGATAAGGGAAGGGTCGTTCAATTCATTGAATTGGGCAAAAGGGGTCGAACTCTGTGTGATTTTTTCTAATCAGTTAATTTTATTAAGAGCGTGTCTAGTAAAGATTATTTTCCAATTTTAATTACAATTCTAGCCGTTCAGCCGCCATAATGGACTTTGTTGTGTGATGTTGGGCCCCGCATTTTGTGTAATAACAGTCCAAAAATTGCTTGAAAGCTGAAAATAATTTTTACCAGACATAATATCAAAGCTTATCGTATTGAAAGAACGAGTTCAAATAAGGGAAGTGTGTAGTTCAAGTCTTTAAATTAGGTATAAGAACTCTGCTTGTAATTTCTGCTTCACAGGCCCTTGTCAGGTTACACACAAGGAGGGGGACATTTTTTTTTTGTTAAATACATTTTGGGTGGGACCCGGGCTCCAGTGAGGGGCCTTTGTGAAAATAATTTATGTATACCAAGAATTATTCTTAGGTATAATAAAGGGTAGAACTTTGTGTGTGGGGTTTTACCAATTAATTTTTATTAAATGTGAAAACTTATCATACGTTTACAAAATAGCAAGTTCAAATATGGGAAAAGCGTGGTTCAATTCTTTATTAATAGAGACCATTGATTAACAAGGGGATATTAAAATTGTAGAAGCAGTCATAACGACAAGGTGGGGGTTGTGCGGGAATGCCGGAATGGGATGGATGAGGAGTGGGGACCATGCAGTGACGAAGATAATTAAATTTTCATTTTTTGTTTTGAAGTTAATCTATATCGTTAGATTAATTTACTTTAGAAAATATGATCGTTTGTCGAATATATTGTCTAAAATAATGATCCAATGAATGCTCACATAATTCACTATAATAAAAGATTTATCCGTACAAAAAGAATTAGTTGCGCCATATATTCGTTATTAATGATTTAAAATCAAACAAATCAACTCTAAGAGGGGGGAGTAAATATTAATCATTAACCACCGGAAGTTGCGCTCTTTTTGACGTTTATGCTTTTGCAGTCCACAAGTAACAATCACGGGCTCTATAAAAAATAGATATAGTTGTACCACCGGAAGTTGCGCTCTTTTTGACGTTTTTGCTTTTGCAGTCCACAAGTAACAATCACGGGCTCTATAAAAAATAGATATAGTTGTAGAAAGCATTATGAGGAAATTACACCCTACCCTTGTTTTAGATTTTCATTTTCATAAATCTCATCTTAAGTTTAATTTTTCAAAAATCAGATTTTTTATATTTAATTTAATATTATTTATATAATTTTCATCCAAATTAAAATAATCCAAATCAACCATAATATTCATTCTACCTCCTCCTCGTCTCTGTGTT